GATCACTCCTCAAAACTGGTGTTACTGACGTTTTTTTCAAACTCATTCAGGGCGACTTCTGACCAAGAAGTACCTCTCACAAAGTGACTTATTGTGAAGGTTGTCTTTCAGAATTAGCTTTGTTTTGTTGCTTTTATCGATCAATGCAATTTCATTGTAAGCTTCCTTAAAGAGTTTGTGGAATCTGATTTGCCGTATTTACAAATGTGTGCCTTTTATATGTGATAAATAAATTAATTCTGGTGTGTGATAAACTTGACTTTTAACCATATCATCCGGCATCCAAGTTCAATCGATGTCAAAATCGAATCGTTCGGCAGATGAACATCCGCTTCATCCCGCTACAAAAATGCACAAAAGCGTCAAGCCTTTAAGTCGTAATGGAAAAAGTCATTTTTAAAATGATTTTAGTAGTTTTTGCGCTTTTGTATACATTTATATATATATATACACATATATATATATATGTATTGTTTTAGAGAGCCAGGAAATTAAACCCTCCGCATTCGTGTTCTGTGACTGACAAAAGCCTCAAAATGCATCCCAGGTGGTAGCATCTGCCCACAGTAACCACCAGTTGGCAAGGTTAGATCAATAACGCCGTCTTAAAAGCAACCTTGAAGCGAATGATCGAGCTGTGGAACGACTGGGACTGCTCTGGTGGACATGGCGCAGTAGATAGTAGCACTGTTGTGATGCATTCCATGCTTTCGCAGGGAAGTATCATCAATTTTCATGCGCGCCTAGATCTCACGTACGGATAAAGTGAAATTTCCGATGGAAAAATTAGCGATTTGGAAACCAAAGAAGTGGGAAAGCTGATGTTTTAAAGAGACTTTCCTTGTCTACTCTAAATGAAAACACGTTATAGTGAAACCATGTTTACGTATGTGTATTTGTATTTATGGTATACTTGTTTGTGTTTGTGTGTGTGTGTTTTATGCGCACACATTTGCACGTGTGTGTGCGCGTGTAGGTGTGCGTGTACGTTTCTGGGTGTACGCATTTGTGTTTATGCATTTCGAGCAAACAGACCTATTTTGTTTCAATTTTCGTGGTATGAATGGTAAATGCTTTAAACCTATCGCACTATACTATAGGCTGCTGATCAAGAGTGCGCAATGTGCCCACTGAAAACGAAACAGCCCTGTGCGGGGCGGTTCATTTAAATACCTTTACCTTATTGCTGGGTTGATTGGTTCTGCGCATGAATTGGCACTTGTCCGTGTGTGGGGTGAGGCCGGAGGAGAGGGGGACGGGGATGCAGTATATTATTTTTCGGGTACGTGACTTTGGCGACCACGCCATCGGTTAGTTAATTTTGGCGAAAAGCAGTGCGTGTGGTCGAGGTATTTCTGCGTGT